CATGACCAAGGCACCGTGAGGATAAGCCGGGCTCACCAGCCCGTGAGTTGCGAGCACGGCTACACGCACGGACGCGCTAGACAGCGCTTGCATGACGGAGCTCTTTGTCATGGCTGCGCCGACTAACGCATCCACGCCGAGCTGCTTGGCAATCTCCTCGGCTTCTTTCCTCGCACCTGGAAGTTGAGGCTGATCGAGACCCATTGGCTCCGGATCCCCAGCAACGAAGAAAGATGGCTCGTCGATATGATCGTGGTGATGATCTTGGTGGAGCTGGCAACGTCGCAGAGCTCGGATGGAAGGGATGACTCCCACATTCTTCTTCTCGACGAGGAACTGGCCTTCGGATCCATCGTATAGTGCGGCAAACGGGACGAGTGACATGGTTCCTTGCGGAGCAAAGATGACGGTGTCATGGGGCTCGATGTGCTCCCAAACAGGCAGGACAGTGAGCTTGTAGAGAATCCCCAGCGCCGCCTTTGCCTCTGCCTCGTGGCTCTCACGTTGGATCACTGTTCTGGCCTTCCTGATGAGCGCGTCTAGATTTCCACCCATCACCTTGTTTTCCTTGGAAGCAAAGAATTCCTGCAAGCGGACGCGCTTGAAGCGGACAGTGAAATCCTCCCCTGCTGTGGAATGCACAACGTAGATGAGTAGTGAAGAGAGTGGATGGTTTGCCGAGAATGCATACTCCACCACCACTGAGTTACAGCCAGCTTTCGCAACAGCCTCTTTGATGCAGCTTGCAGCGTGGTGATCGTCCTTGTCAAATGCCAAAGGGTCCAGTAACTTTGGACTTGCGGGAGTGGAGTTTCTAAGAGCTTGGTCGGCCAAGTGAAAGTACAATCTCATGCGACTCCTCTCGGCCCACAAGAGTGCATCCACGAAACTGTTTGCCTTCGATGAGATCTTCTGCAAGAAATAGTATATGTGCTTCATATCGTCATCCAGAAGAGTCACCCAAGCAGACTCCATGTTTTGCAGTTCCATCTGGACGTCCGCAAACAGGTGAGCTGCTTCACGAGCTTCCGAGGCCGACTCCTCCATTCTTCCTTCTGTCGCGAGTATAGAAGCCCGAATGCGTTTGATCTTTCCCATGAGCAGTGCATCGTCACTGCCTATCAGGCTCGTAGCACTGTCCAGCTTAAGCATAGCAACGCTGTAGTTTTTCATGTGGAAGTGAACCACTGCTTCCCCGGCATAAGCTCTCACAAGATCTTGCAGGTTCCACTCGCCGAATCTCCGCATGATTTGTACTGCTCGATCGTACTCACCCAGCGCTTTCTCGTAGGAGGCCATAGCCGGGACAGGCTTGCCTTTGCGTTCTTGCTCAGCTCCTCTGTCATTGAACAGTGCGCGGTTGATATAAACCTGTGCCGCATGTATCGACATGTCGTCGGGAATCTCTTCCAGAGCCTGATCAAACTTGTCAAGAGCCGAATCCAAGTCTCCCATCTTTCTATATGCGTATGCCAGACCATTTAGCGTCGAGTACCTGAGCGTCCAATGCTTCGAGGCTTCAAGCAAGTCCGTTAGCGTCTTGACGGATGCCTCATTGTCTCCGAGGAGCCGGTTTGCAACGCCATAGTTGAACATCAAGTGAGGGTCTTCGCCATACTTGCTCTTGAACCGGCTGGCCAGATCGAAAGCAGCGCTGAAACGGCTGCTCTGGACGTAACACAAAAAGAGTATGGAGTACACCGCGCCCAAGCGAGTGTCTGCAAAGCGCTCCTTCGCCTCCAAAGTTTCCTTTGCGGTCTCAAGCTTCGCTTGAGCTTGGATGTTGTTTCCAAGCGCAAACAGGCACTGCCCAACTCCCAGCATAACATCTACTCTCAGATCCCAATCCGTCTCCAGCAAAGCCGCGTGCTCCGCTTGAATGCGGCCAAACATCTCGAAAGCTCTCACCATATCCAAGCACGACTTCACCTCGACGCAGCACCTGATGTGTGCAGAAACCTTGTCTCTCTCCGTTGGAGCCAATGCCGTGCACAGCTCAAACCTCTCCAAGGCCTTATCGTGCTCCGACCTCCGGGAGAGCAGCAACCCCATTGCACGATGGAAACGAAACAGCAGCTCCGTCTCGTCCCCTGGCAGCAAACTAATGCCCCTGTTCAAGTGCTCGTAAGCATCGTCCAGCGAGCCACGGGAGAGCAGAACCACACCAAGCAGCCCGTATGCTTCACCCTTGAGAACTTGCATGGAGGGTGGAACAACCATCTGATCGCCACCATCCTGAATGCGCTCACAGACAAACTCGGATATCACCCTGCCATGCTGCTGGACGAGGAGACAATTTAGCAGCCAGATATTTGCACTCGCAAGCCGCCTGGCTTGCAGCTGCAAATCTCCCTGGATTCGAAGTGCCGCTTTCAAGCTCCACACCAAGCAATCCAAAGCTTGATCACAGTCACTGCAATGTTCCAATGCCAAACAACCTGCAGCCCACCAGCCAAAGCTCTCCACTCCAAAAATCTCCACTTCTCCGGCGGCCAGTGCCATCTCCCGGAAAGCTTCCACTGCCTGCTTGAACTCTTTTCGATCCATGCGAGCAAATCCAAGTCGCTTGTATCCATTGAATTCCTGCCCGCCACCCAAGGTGACGCATGCATTGGCGTGCTCCAAGGCCAAGTCAAGGTCTCCCGAGCGGCGGTACGCCTCTCCTAGGAGGCTGTGCACCGCCGCCGCCTGGCAGCTGATATGCGGTGTGAGCCCCGCTTTGAGATACTCCACTGCGCTGCGAAACTCTCCTTTAGCGAGCAGCAGACAGCCCAGCTCGAACTTGCCCCGTTCCACGAAATTCAGCTGGAAAAACTCATCCAGATCGTCACCCAGATGATCTTGCGCCAGTCTCAGTCCTGCCTCAAGATCCGCCTTGGCGGATTCCAGCTCTTCCACACAGGGTCTGAGCAGGATGCCTCTCTCGATCAAGGCCAGGACTTGCAACATGACATACCCCTCGCTTGCAGCTCGCTCTTGAATCGATTCGAATAACGGAATGGCGTCGTTGGCTCTGTCCAGATGAACCATGGCATAAGCCATGTTGGCGCAGATGGAGAGATCGATCTTGCTGCTACTGCTGCTGCAACTGCAAAGGCTTACCCCGCATTGCTCCTCGAGGCGTTGCACTGCCGACTCAATCTCCAGCTTGAGATGCCCAGTTGCAGGGCCATAGGCCGGAAGTGGGATGACACTCAAGAAGTGATCTATTGCTTCCATGATCGTGCTTGCCCTACAGATGGACTATGTAAGACCAGTTCCACCATCTTTTGACTTTTTCAATTCAATGTACCTTTTGAGCTCACTGGATGATGTTTCGCCAGAAGATAATCCAGGAAGTTCCCCACGCGACTCAAGCGTCCCAAAACAGGCAAAAACACTTGGCTCTAAAGGCAAAAGCTTCGAATTCCCTGGATGATTTTATCTCCATCCAAAGTCTAAAGCCCAGTACTGCGCTCTTTTGTCTAGCTCGGGTCTTCGTGCTTTCCAGACTAAATGAACCAGCTGCGAGAGTAACACCACGGTGATGGAATGAATAACGATTTGGAGATATAAATGCTGACGTTCTATTTTCAAAGGATCATTGGCGTTCCCTTGTGCCCACTCCATGTCCATGCTAACACTTTCTCCCTGGACGCCCTACCATGACCTCCACCCCATCTAGCTCCTTCACACCTTCCAGTGGGAAGAATGTGCCTCCCACTTGAGCAAAGACTTGCAATGGCTTGCCATTGCGCCAAACACAACTATCCTTTCGTGCTTTAATTGATGAGCGGACAGAGCAGGGGGAATCCTAAAGAAGTGGTAACTTTATTTCAAGGAACTATGATTTGATGAGAAAAGATTCACCAAGTAAACTTTATTATCAATTAACTATCAAATATCCAAGATTATGCTAAAGGACTCATTAGACATAACATAGCATTATCTCCCAATAAGAAAACAGAAAAATAATTTTTGAAGCTATTTAAAAATTAGTATGCAATATTATATATGGTTAGTTTGTATAATATAACAAAATATCACATCAGATCATATGCCACAAATCTATTAAATATTTTTATTGTATTAAATATTTTTATAACTTTATTATCAGATTAAATAACACAACTTGTTAGAAATATATTTTATAAATTTAAATAATATATCCTTTAACAAAGTGATACAGGTTACTCTATCTCATTATATATTTCATACTTAGTTTTTCAAAATTTATTTAAAATTTACAAGCCAATTTAGATTTAAAGTCATAGTAATAATAATCTATTTACTTAATTTCTTATATGTCATGAAAGAATATATTATATTATATTTCATCTGGAAAGATACTAAAGCTCACCAAAGAGTAGTATTGAGAAATTCTAAAGCTACTAAGGATTGGAACAATGGAATGTAATATGGATAAATCAAAAAATGCAAATACATAAAATTCTAGGTGATTAACTTAAATTTCTGTAAAACAATAGAGAAATAAAGTGGAAAATAACTTTAAAATTAATACATAATCAAATAAGAGTTTTTTTCCATCTATTTTATAGATATATTGATCACGGTATTGAATTTTATAGTTACAAAAATAAATAATGGTCCCTCACCAGCACTATTAATAGTAACAAAATCATAGATCATTTCAATGCATATTTGTGTGGTACTTACTATTTCTTTATAATTAATGTTAGAACTTATAAAATATATTAAATGTAATCTAAATATACTAAACATATTAAAGTAATACTTATTTTTTGGTTTGGGATGGTAGTGGATATATCTAAAATATACTTGGATATTCTAGGATATTCTACCATCTAACGGTTAATATTTATTTAGATTAATCTTGTATTTATAATTTATAAACTTGCTTAAACACTTTCTAGTATATTCTTTTTTATTCTACCAATATGCAATAAGATTAATCTTGTGTTTATAAATTATAAACATGTTTATAATTATAACCTTTTATTTGATCAATTAGATTAATAAGTACTATCAACGCATTGCAAAAAAATTTATGTTTACACAATTATTATATATGTTTCTGTAGAATTTTTTTTTGAAACATATGAAGTGATTTTAAAATATTAAAAATCACCTTCATTGACTTTCACTTCCATTGACAAAATGAGTTCATGATGTGTGTTGCCAGAAGATAATCCACGCTGTAAAGGAAGTTCCACACACAACTCCAGCGTTCCAAAGAAGGCCAGAGCATCCCTCCACTTGATTCCAAAGGCCAAATCTTTGAATTCCCTGGTCTTGGTTCCAGCCATTCCAAACGTTGTTGACACGCCAGGCAACCCTTGCTAGTGTCGTCCCCACGTAGAAAACTGTGGACAAAGCTGGAGACTGGAGACCGATATTCGACCAGTTACGATATCCGATGATCTGTGGAACCAGGAAGAAATCCCTGAGCAGCTCTCCATATGCTGAAAACAGCCCCACGCAGTGACCGAGAAACAAAGCTCCACACGCCGTGATAAACGCGTAAGCTGGCAAGCAAACCATCAAGACGTTTGTTTCCTCCACGATCCCGGGATGATTTTCTAGTTTCTGATCTCCATCCGAAGTCTCAGGCTCAGTACTGCTCTCTTCGTCTATCTCGGGGCTTCGTGCTTTCCAGACCAAACGAACCAGCTGCGAGAGTAACACCAGGGCGATGGAATGCATCGCCATTTGGAGGGATTTGCTGTCTTGCGAGCGACGTTCTACTGTCTCATGCATGAGATCCAGCCTATCTGTAAATTTGTAGCGGGGTATCGGTGTTGTTATCCTGTATGTCTGTGAGTCTATGAATCCCAAGCTCAAGCCCAAATTGATCATAATTCCTTGCGCGTGTGCGATGGCGAGGCCAAATAACATCACCAGAGAAACGTAAGGACGAGTTTTTTGTTGGCGATTGCTTCGTATAAGCTGGAATGTGATAGCCGCCACCTCCAGAGAGAGTGTCAAGGTTTTCACGCTTGTCTTCATCTTGTCCCGCTCCAATATGTTTCTAGCTTGCTTGGTGACCATCGAATAATTTGCAGAGACGTCGAAGGGGGGGAAGTATAGAGCATCGTCTTTGTCTCGCAAGCTGAAGATGGATCCCACAACAAGGCGAGGCTTGGTTTCCGAGTCTCGGGGATAATGGATCCGGACGGAGATTTTGCAATCCTTTCCTTGCTCCAAATCATGAAATGTATCGTTGTTGTCAACAGCTTTGCAACCCACCAGGCATGCTGTTCCTCGACCAACGTCGTAAAAGCCTTCGGCGGCGATGTGTTGTGTTCTAGAGTGAGTGAGAGCAGCAAAGATATCGAAGCTGGCGTTCATTCGTTTCTTGTTCTTGATGGTGTCCGGGTACCAACGAAACCTGTTTTCAAATGTGAGAGGTGTTATGAGAACCTCATCCGCTGCAAACTCGCTTTCGGATGCTACAGATTCCGGAAGAGCTGTAGCCACCATCGTTGTTCCTTCATCAAGAGCGTATACATCTTCGATCGCGGAAGTTCTTCCATCGACGCGGAAATCATCGATAGACAAACCGTCCGGATAATCGGTTGCTTGTGGCGATGGATCCTTGACGAGATCACGGCAGTGTTTGTCAGCATCCTCAACTTTGGAGTAAGCGTAGACCTCGCGAGTGCGAACGAAGTCGGGGATGAAGTTTGAGGAGGATGCAATGTCTCCGAAAGAGAGTGGCTCGAAAAACATAGCATCCGACTTCGGCCTCAGGCTCGTGATGATTCCCTTGACATGAGATCTTTGATGAATGTCAAAGCTTGCCAAGCTCATGTCAATGCTTGCATGGATAGAACAGTCCGGCACAGAAGAATCAAATGCCACAGTTTGACACGCCACCAAACAGAGCTTCCCGGATTTCTCGAACCCTTCCACCGCGAGAACCTTGGTCTTCCAGATATCCAGCTCGAGAAAACCATGCACACGTCCATTTCCTTCCCTGGCTAGATCCAACGCTAGCACACTCGGCGATCGAGGAGTTACAGCACCAAGATCAATGCTGCTGGAGTTTCCAAATGGATGACAACGTTGCTTGCTGCTGCTGCATTGACCGCTCGAGGACAAGAAGTGAACATCCTCCCTTGTCGTTAATGGCCGGCGATCAGATTCCTCCATGGTGGCTTTCTCCATGGCGTCCTTCGTCAAGCCTTGGCAGCCAGCCAATGCATCTTCGAGCCTCGTGTACGTATAGTTCCCTGCAGGATTTCCCACAATGTAGATCGGGGAAAAGTAGTAACCTAAGCTTCGAAGCTGACCCGTGATTACAGGCATGGCGGCCACCGAAGGATAATCTAGAGCGAGCGAGACCTTGCAGTCTGGATGCGAACCATTTGAAAGTCTCTTGAAAAGGCAGACCTTTGCAAGCAGCTGCCTGGAGGTAGAATTAAACACTCCCGTGAATGACCCCTGGAGCCTGTCATTCGGGGTAGAGAGTGATCCAGAAACTACACCATTCTTCAAGTTTTTGGATCCCGAGAGCCTGAGAGCTGTATGGCCTTGGTATACCAAGGAGCTGTGAGATGATGAATACAAGTAAAGGAGCTCCTCGAAGGGCAAGCTCTCGTCGTTCGATTCAGCAGTGGTCAAAGAGTGCATACCTTGGAGGAAGCCAAGCAGGAAGACTAGATCCAAGACACGGATGAGAAGCGCCATAGCCATGGATCCTTGCTTGCACACCGCGAAAGGAATATGGTCAAGTCAACAGAATGCTGCTTGAAAGGCTTTTTGACTTGACCATGACTTCTTTAATGTTTTAGACCCAAAATGCCTATCAAGAGTCAAGACTGTCAATTATTGTGGACTGCTAGCTTGCAAATATCATGCGAATCCTTGACAATCACAATAGAAGGTACTCCCATGACGGTGGATCAATGGACCAATCCGGGAATTATAGTTTGTTTGGAGGAGATCTGAGAGATTGGTTGACGCTGTTCTAGCGCCGTGCTCAAATATCCTAATCACTTTCATGCTGGCAGCTCAGAATAGGATAGCATTTCCAATTAACATATTTTATCGTATGTAAGGTTCTCGTGGGGTGCGATAGCCATATGCTTATAAGCTCTGCATCGATCCATTCTTGAGCAGTCCAGAGTGGGAAGAGAGAGCTAGGAAATCATGGGATCCTTGCAAACTTCTAGTGATTCTTCCTCCCCCAGTAGCAAGATCCATGTCATGGCGGTTCCACTCCCCGCGCAAGGCCATATGTCCCCAGTTATCCATCTCTGCAAGCTCATCGCTCGAGATCCAAGCTTCACGATCTCCTTGGTCAATGTCGACAGCCTCCACGACGAGTTCGTCAAGCACTGGGTAGCGCCGGCGGGGCTGGAAGATCTGCGCCTCCATTCCATCCCATACTCGTGGAAGCTCCCGCGAGGAGCCGATGCCCACGCGCTGGGAAATCTGGCGGAATGGTTCACGGCATCCGCGCGGGAGCTCCCCGGCGGCCTCGAGGATTTGATCCGCAAGCTCGGCGAGGAGGGTGATCCGGTCAACTGCATCATCTCGGATTACTTCTGCGATTGGACCCAGGATGTGGCGGATGTGTTTGGCATCCCCAGGATCATTCTTTGGTCGGGCACTGCGGGATGGACGAGCTTAGAGTACCACATTCCAGATCTTCTGCAGAAGAATCACATATTTCCTGTCGGAGGTACGAATCTTTAAATTTACCTTGAATTCCCCCTGTTCTTCCCTTTGGAATTACCTCAAATTTCCCCTTCTCTTGGCTGATCGATTCGCGCGTAGGGAGGGACGATTCCGTGATCATCGACTACGTCCGAGGAGTCAAGCCCCTCCGCCTGGCCGATGTGCCCGATTACATGCAGGGCAACGAGGTGTGGAAGGAGATTTGCATCAAGCGCTCCCCCGTCGTGAAGCGCGCGCGATGGGTCCTCGTCAATTCCTTCTACGACCTCGAGGCGCCCACCTTCGATTTCATGGCCAGCGAGCTCGGGCCTCGATTCATCCCCGCGGGGCCACTGTTCTTGCTCGACGATTCCAGGAAGAATGTGGTGCTTCGCCCGGAGAACGAGGATTGCCTTCGCTGGATGGATGAGCAGGAGCCTGGATCAGTGCTCTACATCTCGTTTGGCAGCATCGCGGTGCTGAGCGTGGAGCAGTTCGAGGAGCTCGCGGGAGCTCTTGAGGCATCGAAGAAGCCATTCTTGTGGGTGATTCGATCCGAGCTCGTGGTCGGCGGACACTCGAACGAATCTTACGATGGGTTTTGCGAGAGGACCAAGAACCAGGGATTCATCGTTTCTTGGGCGCCACAGCTGCGAGTTCTCGCCCATCCCTCCATGGGAGCGTTTCTCACTCATTGTGGATGGAATTCCATCCAGGAGAGCATCACACACGGGATTCCACTGCTGGGGTGGCCTTACGGGGCCGAGCAAAACACCAACTGTAAGTTCATAGTGGAGGACTGGAAGATCGGGGTTAGATTCTCCAAGACCGCGATGCAGGGATTGATCGAGCGAGGAGAGATCGAGGACGGCATAAGAAAGGTGATGGATAGCGAGGAGGGGAAGGAAATGAAGGAGAGAGTGGAGAACTTGAAGATCCTTGCCAGGAAAGCCATGGACAAAGAGCATGGGAAATCGTTTCGTGGCCTCCAAGCGTTCTTGGAAGATCTCAAGGCTTTGAAGCTCCATCACGAGTGAGTGAAACCATTCATTCACTGAAACTATTATTTGAAAGATTTATCAAGATAAACAATGTACCAACTTTAATCAATGCCGGTTTCTTCCTCACCAAGGGATGTCGCATGAGCATTGGAAAGCAAGACGTAGAGCGCAGGACTAACTTCCGGTGCCAGAGTTTCCATCTCTGCGGCGATCCTGGCTGCTCGATCCGGATCCGAGTGGCTGTTACACGCCGCTAGCAGCATCATCCAGGACATGGTAGCACTATCTCTTCCTGGGTGATCATCCCGCAAACTAAAAGGCATGCTTGCCACCAGTTGCTCGGCCACTTCCAGCATCCCTGCTCGTCCGAAAAGATCCACCATGCAACCGTAGTGATCCACACCATGAGCAACGCCATAGCTGTGATGCATCGACGTGAAAACCTCCCAGCCTTGTCGGAAGAGCCCTGCGTGGCTGCAAGCCGAGAGAACAGCCACGAAAGTTATGGCGTCGGCTGGGAATCCGTCCTGTTCCATGAGCCACAGAAGCTCGAGAGCGTAGTGCGAGCGTCCATTGTTGGAGTAGACGCTGATCATCGACGTCCAGGAGATTGTGTCGCGCTTGAGCATCGAGTCGAAAACTTTTCTCGCCGTTTCCACTCGTCCACACCTCCCATACATGTTGATGAGCGCGGTGGAAACGCTCACGCTCAAGTGGAAGTTCACGGCCGCCGCGTCGCTGTGAATGCTTGATCCGTCCGAGAGAGCTGCCAGATCTCCGCACACGTCAAGGACGATCAAGTACGTTGCCTCGTCCGCTGGAACTCCTTCCAAGTCCATGACTTTGAAGAGATGTAGCGCCGCGTCTTGCTGCTCGAATCTACACAGGCTTGAGATGAGAGTGTTCCAGGAGACCGTGTTCTTCTCCGGCATCTCCTCAAAAAGTGATTTTGCGGCGTCCAAGTCTCGGCACTGGGTGGCGAGCGCCGCGATCATGGTATTCCATGCGACTATACTCCGAGAGGGTGCGTTTTCGAATGCTGCTTTAGCTTCTTCCATTTTTCCGGAGCGAGCGTAGCCTGAGATGGTGATGTTCCATGATATCACGTCGTGGCTGCTCATCTTGTCAAATACCTCCCTGGCCCGGCCAGCGAATCCCTCCTCAATAAAAGCTTGAACCATCGAGTTCCAGCTGAGAATGCTCCGGTGAGGCATCCGGTGGAAGATCGACGTTGCCTCTTTGAGCTCGCCGATCTGGATGTAAGACGCGAGCATCATCGACCACGTCACAGCATTTGGTTCTGGATGTTTGCTCAGCAATCTCTTTCCATCTTCAAGGAACCCTCTGCGAATAAATCCTTGGACCACCGAGTTCCAGCTTGTCACGTTCTGGCTTGGCATTTTCTGGAAAACCATTCTTGCTCGATCCGCATCTCCGGTCTGGCAGTAGGCCGCCACCATTGCGTTCCACATAACAACGTCTCGAGTGATGTCCTCGTCGTGAAACAAGCGCTCCGCGGCTTCGATGTGTGCGTTAAGAGCATAAGCCGAGATCATCACAGTCCACGACGAGACGGGCTTGTCTTTACATGGCATCTCCTTGAACAGCTTCTCGGCCTTGTCCAGGAAACCATTCTTCGCAAACGCTTGAATCATTGTATTCCACGACACGGAACTCTTCTCGGGGATCTCGTCAAACAATAGCTTTGCATCGTCGACTTCTCCTAGATCGACATACGCTGCCAGCATGATGTTCCACGACACGGTGTTCACCTGTGGTGTCAGATTAAAGGTTTGTCTCGTCTCCCTGGTAGAGTCGTTCCCGGCTGCACAAACTGCGAGTAGCGTGTTCCAGGAGATCACGTCTTTGCGAGGCATCTGGTGGAAATCCACCTTGGCTTGCTCGGCTTGACCAGCGAGAAAGTAAGCTTGGAGCATGGAGTTCCACGAGACTGTGTTCTCCACAGGAACAGCGTCAAACATTCGTTTCGCGTCCTCCACGCGCCCATTCTCCGCATAGGCCGTGAGCATGGTATTCCACGAGAAGAGGTTCCACTGCGGCATCTTCCGAAACAGCGACTGGGAGAGTTCTAGCTCGCCAATCTCGCCATAAGCCTGCACCATACCATTCCAGGTGAGAACGTTCCTGTGAAGCATGGAATGAAACATACCGATCGCCTCGTCCATGCTCCCGTGGCGAATGCTCGAGGAGATGACGACGTTCCAGCAGACAGCATCCCAGCTCGGCATCTTCTCCAGCAGCGTTCTCGACGAAGAAAGATGTCCTCTCTGCCCAAATGCAGTCACCAAGGCCGTCCAAGAGAGAACGTTCCTCGTCGGCATTTCTCGAAACACTTCGCCCAGGCTCTGGAGCTCACCGTGCTGCGCATACGCATGTAGCATTGTGTTCCAGGACGCTAGATCCTTCTCGGGCATATCCTCAAAGCAAACCTTTGCATTTTCCAAATGACGCTCTTGGGCAAATGCTGCGAAGATGGAGTTCCAAGACACAACATTGCGACCCGGCATCTTGTCAAATATGTTCTTGGCTACGCCAACTTGAAAGACCTGTGCAAATCCCGCCAAGAGTGTGTTCCACGACACAACGTCGCGATGCGGCATCTGATCGAACAAGTTCCTCCCTTCGCCAGGATGCCCGTTCCTGGAAAATGCTGCGAGCATGATATTCCACGAGAAGACGTTGCGGTGATGCCAGGGAATGGCACTGAAGACGCCCCACGATTCTTCCACGCTGCCACAGTTGCCATACATCTGGACAAGGAGATTTGCCGCGTAGGCGTTGTCGCAGCAGCCAGCAGATATCATCCGCGAGTGGATCCATCTTCCCTCGGCAAGAGTAGCGCATCCACGAAGCAATGTAGCAAACGAGCCCAAATCCTTTCCAATCCTCTCTGGGCTACTGGGCATGCGTCTCTAGGGAGATGGAGAAAGACCCATGTAGATCTCTACCATTCCATGATAGAAACTTCTTTTATTTCTGGATTTCACTGCTTTCGCTCACTCTTTCAAACTCTTGAGATCTTCCAAGAATGCTTGGAGGCCACGAAACGATTTCCCAAGCTCTTTGTCCATAGCTTTCCTCGCAAGGATCTTCAAGTTCTCCACTCTCTCCTTCATCTTCTTGCCCTCGTCGCTATCCATCACCTTTTTTATGCCATCTTCGATCTCCCCTCGCCCGATCAATCCCTGCCCCACTGTCTTGCAGAATCTAACCCCGATCTTCCAGTCCTCGACGATGAACTTAGAGTTCGTGGTTTGATCGCCCCCGTAAGGCCACCCCAGCATTGGAATGCCATTCGCGACGCTCTCCTGGACGGAATTCCATCCGCAGTGAGTGAGAAACGCTCCCATGGAGGGATGGGCGAGAACTCGCAGCTGTGGCGCCCAAGAAACGATGAATCCCTGGTTCTTGGTCCTCTCGCAAAACCCATTGTAAGATTCGTTCGAGTGACCACTCACCACCAGCTCAGGTCGAATCACCCACAAGAATGGCTTCTTCGATGCCTCGAGAGCTCCCGCGAGCTCCTCGAATTGTTCCACGCTCAGCACCGCGACGCTGCCAAACGAGATGTAGAGCACCGATCCAGGGTTCTGCTCATCCATCCAGCCAAGGCAATCCTCGTTCTCGGGGCGAAGCACGACATTCTTCCTGGAATCGTCGAGCAAGAACAGTGGCCCCGCGGGGATGAATCGAGGCCCGAGCTCGCTGGCCATGAAATCGAAGGTGGGCGCCTCGAGGTCGTAGAAGGAATTGACGAGGACCCAGCGCGCGCGCTTCACGACGAAGGAGCGCTTGATGCAAATCTCCTTCCACACCTCCTGGCCCTCCGAGGCCAGCAGGTAATCGGGCACATCGGCCAGGCGGAGGGGCTTGACTCCTCGGACGTAATCGATGATCACGGAATTGGCCTCGTCCGGGGAAGCTTTCCCTGCGTCAACAGAGGAGGTTAATTCCAAAGGGAAGAACAGGGGAAATTTGATGGTATTCCAAAGGAAGAACAGGGTAAATACAAGGGAAGAACAGGGGAAACGTTTAATTCCAAGGGAAGAACAGGGGAAGAACAGAGATTCGTACCTCTGCTAGGAAAGATGTGATCCTTCTCCAGAAGCTCTGGAATGTGGTACTCCAAGCTCGTCCATGCCGCGTTTCCCGACCAAAGAATGATCCTGGGGATTCCAAACACATCCGCCACATCCTGGGTCCAATCGCAGATGTAATCCGAGACGATACAGCTGACCGGATCGCCCTCCTCGCCGAGCTTGCGGATCAAATCCTCGAGGCCGCCGGGGAGCTCTCGCGCGGCTGCCGTGAACCAGTCCCCCACATTTCCTGCGACGTTGGCGTCGACTCCTCGCGGGAGCTTCCACGAGAATGGGATGGAATGGAGGCGCAGAGCTTCCAGCCCCGCCGGCGCCACCCAGTGCTTGACGAACTCGTCGTGGAGGCTGTCGATATTGACCCAGGAGATTGTGAAGCTTGGATCTTGGGCGATGAACTTACAGAGATGGATCATTGGGGAGATATGGCCTTGCGCGGGCGCTGGAAACGCCAAGACATGGACCTTGCGAGAAGCCATGGTTTCCTTGGCAGGGTTCATCGGTATTTATTAGAATGGTTTTCTTGGCGGGGAAGGCAACGGATGTTTACACAAGTTGATTTCTCGACAAAGAGAGATTAGCATAAGCGTTGTGAGAGGCAATTCTGCTCTAGAACGAGACTCACATTGACCCAACTTGCAATTCATTACAGCTCCTGAATTTGAACAAGCAATGATCCTATGGATAGCTGCCGCATGAATCTTGAGAAGGTGGCAAAAATCTGTCCCTACACCTGGCGGCTGGGAAGCTTCCGGCCTTTGAGAATATGGTAAGAGCATTTAACATTGGAGCAATCAGATTCATGAGTGCACAAAATGGCCGTCTCTAAAGTCCCAGCCTAAAATAAGTCCATGATTATCAATCGAGAGAACGCTTGGTGTGATGCCTGGTCTGGGCAAATGCAAGTTAGCAAAGATTCCGAGCAACGATATTGTACTCAAGCATTTGTAGAGTTTGTTCCAAACGTTTTCATGTAAGTTTTAACTAAGTCTTGAAGTTCTTTTGCATTTCCTCACGGAGAGATGTTGCATAAAGCACATGACTAATGTCTATTGCTTTGATTGTAATTTATGGTTGGCCACTAGTAATTATTGTTTTGATTGTAATTTATGGTCAGCCACTAATAACAAAACATCCCTGAGCAATTTTGTCAAGTAATTTTTGTTTGTTTACTCAGCCATTTCCAACATTATCCAAATCCCACGCACAAGCGTTTTACTTGATTAGCATGTGTCTATCTTCAGAACTAATAGATAGAAAGTTCTTATCAAAGAATGCATCGTTCGCTCACTCGCGATCCAGCTTCATAGCTTTGAGATCTTCCAGCCATCCCTGGAGGCCACGAAACGACTTCCCATTCTCTTTGTCCATAGCTTTCCTCGCAAGGATCTTCAAGTTCTCCACTCTCTCCTTCATCTTCTTCCCCTCCTCGCTATCCATCACCTTTCTTATGCCAGCCTCGATCTCTCCTCGCTCGATCAATCCCTGCACCACTCTCTTGGAGAATCTAACCCCGATCTTCCAGTCCTCCACTATGAACTTACAGTTGGTGTTTTGCTCGCCCCCGTAAGGCCACCCCAGCATTGGAATGCCATTCGCGATGCTCTCCTGGATGGAATTCCATCCGCAGTGCGTGAGAAACGCTCCCATGGAGGGATGGGCGAGAACTCGAAGCTGTGGCGCCCAGGAAACGATGAATCCCTGGTTCTTGGTCCTCTCGCAAAACCGATTGTAAGATTCGTTCGAGTGACCACCCACCACCAGCTCAGGTCGAATCACCCACAAGAATGGCTTCTTCGATGCCTCGAGAGCTCCCGTGAGCTCCTCGAATTGCTCCTCGCTCAGCACCGCGACGCTGCCAAATGAGATGTAGAGCACTGATCCAGGCTCCTGCTCATCCATCCAGCGAAGGCAATCCTCGTTCTCCGGGCGAAGCACCACATTCTTCCTGGAATCGTCGAGCAAGAACAGTGGCCCCGCGGGGATGAATCGAGGCCCGAGCTCGCTGGCCATGAAATCGAAGGTGGGCGCCTCGAGGTCGTAGAAGGAATTGACGAGGACCCATCGTGCGCGCTTCACGACGAAGGAGCGCTTGATGGCCAACTCCTTCAACACCTCCCGGCCCTCCGAGGCCAGCAGGTAATCGGGCACATCGGCCAGGCGGAGGGGCTTCACTCCTCGGACGTAATCGATGATCACGGAATTGGCCTCGTCCGGGGAAGCTTTCCCTGCGTCAACGGAGGAGGTTAATTCCAAAGGGAAGAACAGGGGAAATTTGATGGTCCAAGGGAAGAACAGGGGAAGAACGGAGATTCGTACCTCTGCTAGGAAAGATGTGATCCTTCTCCAGAAGCTCTGGAATGTGGTACTCCAAGCTCGTCCATGCCGCGTTTCCCGACCAAAGAATGATCCTGGGGATTCCAAACACAGCCGCCACATCCTGGGTCCAATCGCAGATGTAATCCGAGACGATACAGCTGACCGGATCACCCTCCTCGCCGAGCTTGCGGATCAAATCCTCGAGGCCGCCGGGGAGCTCTCGCGCGGCTGCCGTGAACCAGTCCCCCACATTTCCTGCGACGTTGGCGTCGACTCCTCGCGGGAGCTTCCACGAGAATGGGATGGAATGGAGGCGCAGAGCTTCCAGCCCCGCCGGCGCCACCCAGTGCTTGACGAACTCGTCGTGGAGGCTGTCGATATTGACCCAGGAGATTGTGAAGCTTGGATCTTGGGCGATGAACTTACAGAGATGGATCATTGGGGAGATATGGCCTTGCGCGGGCGCTGGAAACGCCAAGACATGGACCTTGCGAGAAGCCATGGTTTCCTTGGCAGGGTTCATCGGTATTTATTAGAATGGTTTTCTTGGCGGGGAAGGCAACGGATGTTACACAAGTTGATTTCTCGACAAAGAGCGAACCCTAGGCCTGCAAAAATTATACAAAAGGAAGATTAGCATAAGCGTTGTGAGAAGCAATTCTGCTCTAGAACGAGATTCACATTGACCCAAATTGCAAGCTCGCTTCGGATCCATTACAGCTCCTGAATTTGGACAAGCAATGATACTATGGACAGCTGCCGCATGAATCTTGAGAAGGTGGCAAAAATCTGTCCCTACACCTGGCGGCTGGGAAGCTTCCAGCCTTTGAGAATATGGTAAGAGCATTTAACATTGGAGCAATCAGATTCATGAGTGGTGCTCTTTGTCACAAAATGGCAGCTTAAAATAAGTGTATGATTATTGATCAAGAGAACGCTCATTGTCTTCTCTTTGGCTGGAAATGATGCCAAATGCAAGTTAGCAAAAAATATTGACATGAACCACAAGAATATTTTGAGAATATTCTATGGCCCATGGGATGTTGGGAGGTTGGGCTAGGGTTCGCTCTCTTATTCATTTCATTGGTATTAGAGTAGCATGTTTTTTTAGGGATGGTGGGTGAGCAAAATATTGATTCTGATGAGGAGTATAGTGTTAATGATGATGGCTATGACGATGAAGAAGAAACTCTTGATAATGTCATTGTGTGGCAAGGATGCTAAATTTCTGAAGTTCAGAGTAACATAAAAAAGGTTAAGGATTCCATCAATCTCATTAAGGATTTTTTGCTTCACATGGACCCTCAAGGGATAAATCAATCTCATGTCCGTGATTACCATTGGTACGTCAAGCATGCTATAGATTATAGTATTGTGGAATGGAAATCATCACCAAATGTTTGTGATAGTTAAGAGGTTGATTCTTGGTTAGAATTGTGAGAAAGTTGTTGGTCTCACAGTTTTTGTGAAGATAAGGTGAAAATAGAGTTTTTTGTGATGAAGCTTACAAACCA